ATCCCTCCCCACTGTGCTCACTTCCTTGGAGCTCCCTTAGAGTCACAAATCAATTTTCTAATGTGCATTTACATAAAGAGGGAAAAACAGTGGGGGGTAAACAGTCCAGATTCCAGTAAAGGATATATAGGAAAGAAAACCAAATAACATTTATTTTCCATACTTGTCATTATCTTTTTCTCCTAACCTTTGTAACAATCACTGGGGCATAGGTAAGGGACAGGATGGTGGCCAATGATGGAGGGGTTTGGGCAAGACTTCTGATTTTATGATGACTTTGTAAGATGTTTCCAGACATACTGTTTCTTTTGCACATTCATTCTCATTCCCTCTGTCCATTTTTCATACCTTTTCATCTTACTTTCCTTTTTCCTTATTCTCCTGAGTTGTTATTCCCTTTTTCTTCACTGTGCATCATGTGTTTAAAAATCTTGTTTCCTTAATCTAATGCATTGTTTTTCATAGTTGCATTTCAACTAAGTCTTTTGACTCAAACTCTTAATGTTGTCTCATCTCTTTTTTTTTTTTTTTTTTTTTCTCCTGAGAATGATCTTGGTTCTATTTGTGTTTATTTCCTCTTTTCCATTGTTAATGGCTTGTTCTTCTTCGCTGCTTTATCTTTTTTCGTGATAGATCTTCATGTCCATTTGTCTTCATTGCTGTTGCATTCCCCTTTTCCGCTATGGGGCTCTGATAATAGTGATGGACCACTGCAATTAAATTTATTCCATACGCCACTGCTTTCCCTGACAGACTGACACTGCTCTTCTTCGATGTTCTTACCTGTTGACTGGCATTAAGAAAAGTCAGCCAGGACCCAGGGATTTCAGTGAAGTGTGACATTGGTCTCCTGGTGACGACTGAACATGGCAAGCCCTGGATGCTTTAGGGTATCTTTAAAGCTGGTTGCACAACATGGAAAAAACAATCCGTGATGTTGTGGTGATGCAAAAGTATTCCGAATAGTCATAAGAAATTTCTCCTGTTGTTGTAGTTTGATTGTTATTGCTTTTAAATGTAACATTGTCGTTAGCTGGTGGGATGCCTAAGCCAAGATGTTGTCAGCAAACAGCTTTCTCTGAATGCAGTTGCCGTTAGCAAACTGGCATACAGTCAATAGGAATTTTTCTGAATTTACTACTGTTTGTTGACATCTTATTCTGTTACAGGCAAGTATTTAATCAAAGTTTATTGTCATTCTTTTCTGAGATTTAAGTGGGACATAAAATTTTACGATACGTATAGTATTTTAGATGACAGCTTCATTATTTCCACTGAATAATTTGAAATGCTACAAGGAGAAATATTGATGTCAAACTGGTAATTGTCATTAAATATGCAGCACTTTTACAGCAGTCATTTGTGCAAAAAATAAATTCGCCAAACTTGTAGGTATCAATAGAGAACCGTTTGAAATAAAATTCCTCCTTCATCTTAAGCCTTTCCCCACCGCGGTGGTTGCTCAAGGCTCCACACGTGTGCAAACCTGACATCTTCAATGTAATTTTTCAAATTTTTCTTTTTAAAAAAATGAAAGTGGTGTAGTGGTGAAAGTCAAAAGGGGAGGATACTTGATTTGTAATTGAGTTGATATTTTGATTTCTGCTGCCTGATGGGATTTGTGTTTTTGTTGCTCTAGTTGTATCCTGTCCCATGGACATTCCCTTGTTCCTGAGCCAGGAAGGATGTCTGTGGCAGGAGGAATTAAACTGTATCATAGGAGATGGGTACCTGGGTTGCTGGAAAGCATGGGACTGATGTGCTGGAGCTGCAAGGCATTATGTGAAATGGACAAATGCAGTTTAATATTGAACTGGTTCGGAATGAAACATTCCTGTTGATTCAGTGCCTTGCTGTGGAGTACCGTATTCAGGACTGTGGGAATGGCTTCTACTTCTAGGATGGAAAAGACAATAAGAGAAAAATTAAGTTGCCCGCCCTGCTTCTCTCCCAGCCTGATTTCAGATGCTGTGTCTTGAGATCTAAACGAATATTTGAACGGGAATTCATATTGCATTTGGATGCATAATTTAGGTGCTTAAAGGCACTAGTCTTATTTAGAGAGGGAGAAAGCCTCCTCTAGAAAGATTATTCAGACTATCCGAGATAAGAATTACACCTTCAAGGTATTGGGTGGTCAATTTGGAAGCTCTGGAGAATGTAATATTCCCTGTAAATCTGTGGCAATGCATAAAGCACACTTCAGATGTTTTGTGCACTAGTATTTTTCATGGAAAATGAAAGATTATTACCTCCCTTTGTAGTATATGGTAGTTTTCTGAGAATTCTCTGCCAGTCAGCTGGTACAGAAGAACATACCCTTCTGCAGTAATACAAGCCAGTAATTAAACCTGAACACAGCGAATAGAGCTATAAAGTAAATCAAAGTGAGCGTTGAATTGTACTTTCATGCACCGGGTGGTACACTCTTTATAACAAAACTCAAAGCTTCCTTTCTTTCCCGAGGAACCATGAATTGCAGCCTCTGTTTGCAGTGTTACTGTTGCTGTCACCTGCTGTAAATCCAGCGTGAAAAGAAATCATGGAGGGAAGAAGTGGAAAGCACTTTTTGTTCCTTTGTCTCCCTTCACCACAGGGTCATCACTTGAAAATCTGTGGCACCTGGGCTCATGGCTGGAGGAAGCCACCCCAAAGGAGACCCAAGCATTTTGAGTTGCCTTCTGAGTGGAGTGGATTGTAAAGTCACTTTGGGCTTTGTAAAGTCAGATTAAATCAGTGGAAAGGCTCCTGTGGCTTTCAGCATACAGGGTTTTCTCTGATGCTTACATCTCTGGCACAATCTGACTGGTGGAAAAATTGAGCTAAATCCAGAATTTGGGGAACTTCATAGTGCTCACTTGCCATAATGCCCGTATATAATGAATAGAACCTCTTGCATGGATGGAGGGGAACAGGGCATTTTGCAGGACCAGTGTCCATTCTCATTCCTTCTTGTTCAGAAGCCTGTTGCTGGCTGTTCACCTGCTTCCCTGTAAGTGTCCGTGATGGGAGAGGAGGACAGATGTTTTACCCGGCTTCACCAAAGCATATAATCTCTTGATGCTACTGTACCATTGACTCCTAAAATCATGCCTTCCTGAGATGTCCTCACGTTATCTACCGCCGTACAGCCAAGCTGTCAAAATGTTAGCAGGGATTTTGATGCTAAATGACTCAGGAAGACAGCTGGAACAAAGTTTACAGGTTTATTTGGGGTTTTTATGTTGTTTTTCTCTAAAGAGAGTTCTCAGCATTATGTGAGCATCCCAAGCAGCAGTGGTGATAACGAGCTAGTTGAAATGAATGATGGATTAAGTTTGGTGTGCAGGGGGGGCAAACGTAGCACCAAAGGATGGGGGCTGTCTCTATGGGGTATGGTCTCCATTTTCTCATTGAGTAGACTTAAAATAGTAGTGCAAAGGCTGAGCCTATCAGGCCTTTTCTGATGAGCATAGATGACTGCAAGGGAAATGGAGTATAAAAATATTTTTAAACATATCTTGCAGTCTGATTGCCTGCTAGATTCTCCGTTACTTCTCATAATATGCTTGAAAAGTTTTATTTGTTCCTCGAGGGCGATGAGCCCATCTTCATTTAGGGATGCAACTGCAGATAATACCACCGTGCTATTGACAGCTTCATGCACTCTGGCTAGCAGCCTGCCTCTTTTATTTACTCACTTGTATATGTGTTGCCTTGCAAAAGCAGTACAGTTTTCTGCCCTCCTAGTTATAATTGCATCCTGGGTGACCTCGTTACAGAGCCTGTTCCTTTAGCGTGAGGTGAAAGAGGCAGTTGTTGCCATTATAAATTTTAATTTTTTTTCTATGTATAATGGAGCCTGAATAGTCATTATGTTTTTTCCTAGATTCATAATTAAAGAAACCTCGAAGGAGAGCTTTGTAACTGTTATAAGGGCAAAAGAGGAGGTGACGTTCAGTGTGAGCTTGTTGTTTATAAACAGGTAGATTTGAGGTTTCAGAAATTTCACATATGTAGTTGAAAATTCATGAGGGTCCAGAAACACTAAACAATAGAACAGTGTAACAAAGTCAGTCATGTCTGTTTATCGCTTAAATTATATTTGTAAGACATTAGGTGTAATTCAGTACTAAGAGTTACATGTTATGAATTTTTATGGATTATAATGTCCTCATAACATCTATGTAATTACTAAAATTCCTGGACATTTCTTTTGTTATTTTGAAAATAAAATTATATTTTATTTTACTTTTTAAAAACAATAGTTCCATGTGTTGGACTCCACATGACATTCCTCATGTGCTTTGTATTGCTACTCGTTCTGCCAGCAGCTCTTTTGGTTGGTAGGTTTTATACTACTAGTACCCAATGTCCTACCTTCTTTTTGAAAGGGATTTTGGGGAGATGCTTCTCATCAGGAGGTATGATTTGGTCCAGGTCCCTTGGTTCATCTCCAGCAGAAAGTATTGATCCCTAATTTTGGATCTCCTAGTTTTTGGATACAGAATCAGAAATAATAGTGGCTCATTCTGGTGAGGTTGCAGGAGAAGGACCAAAACATCTATCACACACTTCTCTGGCCTACAGGCAAAAGAAAATTTCTTTCTGTGGAGACCTTCACAATTTGTTTTGTGGAAAATAGGTTCTGTAGGTGGAGATTGCTGGAAAATATGGGTCAATTATCATCGGTTCTGTTGATAGTTGATATTACAGTTTTCTAGTGATTGAATTATCTCATTCCTCGTGCTTGCCTGCTTTATAAAGTAGACTGCAGCCAAGATGTTACACACAAAACTTGAAACACATTTTTTTTTTTCTTTTTTGCTTTTCTGAAGAAATACTGAAGTTTGTTCAAGTATTACACTTTCAAGCCTGAAGCCTAACCATGTGCTCTTTTGTAGTGTATTCCTCCCGGGGCAGGTGGATGTTTGACATGAAGTTAATCCATTTGATGTAGACCATGGATATTGAACCAAGCTGAGCCTTCCTCCATGTCTGTCTTGTTTTGTTTGCTCCAGGTGAAGAAGTACCACATCACCTCTGCTCAGAGCTTCCCCGTCCTGATGTTGTGGCTTGTGAAATCCCTTGTGCAATGGACTGTGTCATCAGCGAGTGGTCACTGTGGTCCCCGTGTTCCCATTCATGCTCCAGTAAAAATACTGAAGGCAGTCAGAGCAGGAGTAGGTCCATCTTGGCCCTTCCAGCCAAGGGTGAGTGGTAAATGTTTTGGATTAATCACTGTTCATTTAATGAGTTGACTTGCTTGGCCAAACTGTGTTTAGATCAGAGCTAATAGTAATACTGTAGTGATGAGGAATAATACTTAATATTTGTCTGTACTTAATGCCTAGCAACTAAAAGATCTTCATAGGCTTGAGTTAATGTGTGTGTCACTTAGAGAAATTCTGTCACAGTTCAAAATTACTCACTTCAGTCTATGAATTATTGTCTATCGAGGGTGTGGATTTACTTCAGGAAAGCTACATCCTATACTAATGAAATTGCTGCATGACACAAACTCATCATGTGAGTGTCTTTATATAGCAACATATTAGCACTGATTTAGAAAAGTACAGCTGTGGAAAATGAGGAAATAGAAAAGGACCTGTTTATTAATGCAGACCTAGAATGTATTGACCTTCTTGTCTTTCTATTGTTGTAAGTAAATATATATATATATATATATATATTTTAATATATATATTATAATTCCCTCTGGATCCTTACAGACACATTATGTCTCTGGATTTTTACATCTTAACATCAGTGATACAATTATTTACACAAATTATTTTGTATTAGAAATGTAGTCTTCTATCTACAGTTACACATATGGTGATTAATTTATGTGTTGGTTTATCACACAGGATTTGAAAGGTATCACATCAGGTGGATAAAAATTCATAAAACATGAACAGGTCTAACAGACCTGACACAACAAAAATATCTACTATTGTCAGCACTATGTGCAGTAGCAAAGCACTTTTAGATGCAAATCTAGTATAGGACAAGCTCTGTTAAGTGCTATTTTCTAAATTATCATTAAAGCCACCCACTGTTTCTGGGGCAATGTGAGGACTTGATCTTGCAAACCCATACTCATGTGAACATTCTATATTCACATAAACATCCTCATAAGCACTTGCAAGGAAACATGGGACTCTTCAGGATGAAAACTGCTATATCATTGTTGATTGAATGATAATAACTACTACTAAAAAGTCTTATATGCTAGAGAATAATTAAAATGAAAAATACAGTCAGCTTCATATTTTCCATGGTAGCAGCGAAATGCAAATAACAGATAAACATGGAATTATGAAAGTGAAGTATTGAAGAAGTGAATTCTGGAAGTACATTAGCTCAGTCATCTCAGCCTGAAACACACTAAACTAAAAAATAATGTGCTTTGAACTGAATACTTTAAGTTTCTCAGGAAGGGATAATTAACTGCTGAAATCAAACGCCTCAACTTTTTCTGTACATCTTTAGCAATGAGTCTAATGGTTTGCTATGCAGAGTCACACATCTGCATACAGATAAATAGTGATCAATTTGAATTTGTGGAGAGTGGAAGTGGATTATTTAATACACTAATCACTGCAATACTAAGGCAATGTTACGTTACCTGCTTTCTCTGACTGTTTCATACTCGTCTCACAGCTGAGCCACCAACTTCTACAGAGCTCTGGTACCTCTGCAAGTGACATTTCCTTTGTCTTCTCTCAAATGAGGCAATGTTAACTATGGCTCTGCTGTCTGAGGGCTTCTGGATGCCATCCCATGGACTGACTTCAGTTCAAACCCTTGCGTCATTTTCTTCAAGCTGTCATGACATCCCAGAAGCTGGTCGCTGTGAAAGAAACTAGAGAGGCTTGGTTTAAATCAGGTTTTAAAAAGATCTTTTTTTACACAGCAAACTTATGGAAGTTGGTACAAGAGGAGGTTGTGGATGAATGCAGTTTCAGCAGGTTTAAAATGGGTTAAAGGAGTTGATGAACAACAGGTCCATAAAAAGTCCATGAACAGCTACTAGAATGGCTAGGCAGCGGTGTGCTGTCCTGCTTTCCTTGTACAAAAGTTGTCGATGAACTGCAGACAGTGGCCAGGCTCTCATGCTTTTGCTAAACAACATCTCCTGCTTTCAGTTTTGCAGATAGACTGCTAGATTGGGTGGACCATGTGGCATTTTTTATGTTCTTAAGTTAAAAATACCTTGTTATTACACTCCTTTGTTTAGGAGAGCTTCCTTGCTATGGGTATTCTTGAAAATAACACCTTATTTTTTCTCTGGTAAGCTCAAAATTTGAGTTAAATATTTTTCTTTCTTTTTGTTTGTTTTTCCTAATGGACCAGACATTTTGCCATTTGCTTGCTACATTTTTTTCTTTTTGTTTTTTACATGTGCTCAAACACACAAGAGCGATAACTGGTCTACATTTTTCCTGCCTAGTTAAAATCTTCAGGAAAGTAGGATACCTGGGGCATTTTCTATTCTGTCATCACACTAAGCATTTCAGAGACTGAATGCTATGTGAAACAGTCTATTATCATGAAAAGGTGAACAGTAATGTGACGTGATTATCCAAACTGGTGTGCTAAGAAATTTCTATCCCTCTTTATCTTTTCTCAGTACTATTTGTTGTGGCATTTGGGGTCATACCTTATTTGAGAAGGCTCAGACCTGGAAAGTGATAAGCATCCCTTCGAGGAGCAAAATACCTTCATCTCCTGTTGATTTTGGTAGGGCATAAAGGTGCTCTGAACCTTGTGGTATCTGGCCCCAACACTTTGATTCTTTCAGAACCTGCAGCACTTTGGCTATGCCACAAGTTTCCAGATTCTCTCTTTGGGAACAGAATGATTTTGATTTTAGTTTGTTGTGTTTGTGGATTTATTACCAGTTGTTGACAAAGTGTGGTAGCTTAGCAAAATCTTTGGACACCAATTTAAAGGATGCTGCTTCAAAAAAGTAAAAGCTTCATATCAAAACCTATCTTTCATGGTTTCCCCCATTGTTCTGCAGATGCGGGTGTCAGCTGATACATTCCCCCATCCATACAGTTCAGCACCCTCTACAGCTCAGCTCTTTAAGGCAACGTGACAATAGAGTCCGAATATTAGAAAGAGATATTCCTCCTTGGGAAATTAGCAAGGAGAATGAACATAAAAATAATGCTTAATTTGTCTTTAAACCTAATTGCATGTTTGCTGAGCGATACTGGCATTTAAATGGAATTAGCTAGGCTGTGTGTAGGAGTATCAATAAGGTAACTCAGAAATATACTTTGCCTATTTCTGTTTCCATTATACATTGGAATACAATTTTATGCAAGGCTAGTTTAATGGGGAAACAATATTTTAGAAGGTTGTTATTGCAGCTGTAAAGGTCAACAGCTTTATTTAAGATTTAATTATTTATTTTTTAAAATGGGGAAAAAACAGAGAAGATATTAAGCAAACCTAACATTTTTATTTATTTTTCCATGCCTTCCTTTCGCCACATGCCATAAGATAAAATTCTCTTGACTCTTTCTAGGTGGAAAAGCCTGTCCCCCTGACCGAGCCCTGCAGGAGCACCGTGCCTGTAATGATCACCCATGTGTGCATTTCTTCTGGGGAACTTCTCCCTGGAGCTCTTGCTCTGAAGACGTGCTGGTAACCGCGCTCAATACGACCATTAATTGGAGTGGAGAAGCCACTTGTGGAGTGGGCATACAGACAAGGAAGGTCTTCTGCATGAAGAGCAGTTCTGGCCAGGTCACACCTAAAAGGTATTTAAAGCAAGGTTATTAGAGATTATTTGTAGTTACAATACATTACATGTGCAAGCATTTTCAGCTAGCATAGGGAATCTGCAGCTTTGAAAATAATTTTGTTTCAGGACTAATTCTCCAGCTACTACTCCATCACTACTATGAAAGGGATACTAATATGTAACAAAAATAAATAGCTACCCCACTCTTAACTTTCTGTGTAAATCCAAGCTAAATGCATGTTTTTAGTGTTGTAGATTTTTTTGCTGCAGCTCCTCTGTTACTCTAATTTACAGTTTTCTGCAAATATTTTTCCTGAAGGACAGGTGTGAGGAAACTATAAAGTACATCTGAATATAATGTTCATCAATACATTATTAACAATGCTCTAATAAAATAGAAAAAGTAAATAGAGTTTGCATTATATTTACACTGCAATAAGGCAGGAACATGTGTGATCTATCTTGTTCAGTTGATTTATATAGCTTCTATAATGTGATACCAACACAACCAAATAATGTATTCTGCAGTACAATTTTTCTTTGAATTTTTCTTTGCTTTACTAAATGAGGAAAATAAGTACCACAGATGTTTTCCCTAATATAAAAAAAAATCAAGACATTGCTAATTATTTTTCGCACTGTTAATGAATCTAGAGACTTACAACTGAGTTTCATTTCTTATTGTAGCTCTCAAAACAGTCCTGTTTGTATAAGCAGACTGTGTTGATTTCCGTAAAGTTAATTAAAATTCTTGAGGTTAATGAGATTAATTAAATAAAAAGAAAGAAATCTAGTATTTGTTTATATCCAGAATCTGTTAATAGGCTGTAACTTTACCTAAATAAACATATTGTTTATAGAGCTATATCATGTCTAAAGTAGTTGTTTGCCTCCTCCACTTTTGAGATAGTGTAAGGGGAAATGGAACTGAAGAAGGGTAAGTAAATACTTAAGTGAAGTACGTGAATGGAAAACGGAGTGTCAGTGGTGGAAAAACCCTGCCAAAAGAGAAGAGATTTGTGTACTGAGGACTTGGACTGCAGAAAGGCTTCTGTGGTGGCTTCAGTGCCGAGACATTCCTTGTGTAATGGAAATGGCTGGAGCAGAAAGGACTGATGAGTCCTTAAAAGGGCTTCTTACTGAAATTGTTTCTTTAGCTGCTGCACTGCGTGTTGTTCTTGTGGTGATAATCGTCTTAAAAATAAACACCATAAACCTCTACAAGTCTTTAGGAAAACAGCTCTAAGTGCAGGAATAAAAAAACTCTGTGTTTTAGAATTAAATAGTACCTTGTTACTGCCTGGGGGGTCCAGACAGGTCTGGTGCCTGGGTGGAGGGCAGCTCTCCTCACCACAGGCACTGGCTGGAGCTGTGTTGTGTTTTATGTTTGAGTTGATGAAAACTGACCCAAAGTAATGTTGGGTTTAGAACTGCTGTGGTGAAAGCCTGCTGTTAATATGGCTTCAGAAATGGGATAAGCTATGTAAATAAATAACTTCTGTGTGTTGGCATACACTTTTTTGTATGCTACATTTTTCCTGATTTCATGAAGAAAAATTACACCATATCCAAAGGAGGTACAAGGCTCAGAAAGCCAAATAAAACTAAATTTTTTGCAGAAAAATATTTCAGCATCTTTTGTTAGATAACAGGAATATGCCCTCTAGGATAGTCATACTTAATGACAAGGGATGTCTCTTTGTATTTATTTTCTTTTAAATTATACCTCTAAGTACCTTATCACTATCTCACTAGCAGAATCATGACTTTAAGATTTATTTTCTTTCCTAGTAGGGTTGCATGCATTACAAAGTGTCTTTGAGTGGTCTTTCTACTAGAAATTAATAAAAATTTAAAAAGAGTAGTTGCCTTTCTGTTCCCTTACTTGAAATGCAAGATCTGCCTCATCCCAGAAAATTGCCCCTTTTCCACCTTTTGAGTTTTCATATAAAAACTGACTGAAACTTTTATTAGAATATCCATGACATATTTTTCATTTAGGAGTTAAAAATGAATAAAAAAAAAAATCACTGAGCTTTTCTTAACTTTACTGTGTTGTACAACTTTATAAATAACAATCGAAGCCTCAATCAAAGATCACTGTAAGCTCTTTTTGTCTCTCTTAGGAGCTGAAAGCGGAGGACTATCACATCAGTCCTTACACACAGTTGTGAGTGGTTGTTGCACGTTGTGATAAAACAGGACTGCTTTATAAACATAACTATTAACTTTCTTTTTTAATAAATATACTTGTTTTGCTTCAGTGCTTTTTGCATTTTCGGTGTCATAGACAGAGTTACATTTAGCCTGCAGTCATCAAGCTAAGCTCCACTTTTTTTTTTAATTATTTTTTTTAATCTTTGAAGTGTACTAAATTCAGTTGGGTTACATGAGTGCAAAGGAGAAGAAAAATGAGGCTTGCTGTGACCAGGAGTGATATCTTTGGTGTGATGGTACACTCACAGCCCTGTAAGGGTCTTAGGAGTAAAACATTTCCCCATAGTTTTAATTTTTTATTATATTTTATCTTTGCATTTCGATTGATAGATGTCCAGAGTCCATCAAACCTGAGACCATGCGGCCATGTCTCCTCCTCTGCAAGAAAGACTGTGTCGTTACACCTTTCAGTGAGTGGACTCGCTGCCCAACAGCATGTCAGCCTGGTAAGCCTTTAAGAAGTTGTCAAAATTTGGGGAATAATTAGAGAACTGGCCTAGAAACATGTAGTAGTTGTAGTTCACATCAGTCTAATAATTTTTAGAGCATTCATCTGAATGAGTTTTGGAGTTGGGGTGTTGTTGACACTGGTGGTGTTGGTGGGGTGGGATCCTCATGAGCTTGTTGTAAGTTGTAAGTTCCCTTTACCTGGAATAAATTCCTTCTGGGCTTCTGCTTTCAAGGCCAGAAATCCAAGGTCCCAGCCTTGTATCTCTGTACATGGAAGTGCTACATTCTATGAAATTTATTTCTCTTGACCAACCTAGATGTATGTACAGGGCTGTGTAAATAACTCCTGTGCTTTGTGGTTTTTCAAGGACCATACATTTCTTTGATCCAGTTGGTTAGCTTTAAGACACTTGAGTGTTTAACAAAGTTTCTTTATATTGATTTAGCATTGGATTTTGTGACAAATTTGTGTGTTTCATTAATTGGTTAGATGAAAACCTTCTCAGTTATCAGAATATTTCATTATTATTGGTGGTTTCCTTGCCCTTCAAAGATCCTCAGTGGATGTTCTAGCCTAGTCCTTGTTGGATTTTACAGGAAAATGAGTTGCTTTCTAAACAGTGAATCCTGTTTTAATTAGCAGTTTATTTTTAGACTTTAAATGAGCTGCTTATGAAGAAGTAGAATAAATTACCTGGTAAATTACTCTGTTTATTAAATAATAGTCTACAATTAAAATGAGAAGAAATTAATTATTTAACCTCCTTGGCAGTGGTATCATTTTAATATAATTCTAAATTAAAACTTCCTAGATGGGGGAGTTTACTTTTTGCTAAATCTGTTATTGATATGGCTGCATTGCAAGATTTTTTTTTTTTTTTAATTTGCATTGCACAGTTAAAACCTCAGCACGATAATGAAATTTCAAACCCACTATACATATGTGAGTTGTTAGGGGCTTTGTTTTGTTTTTTTTTTTAATAGAAAAGTTGTGTTTAATGAGAACAACATACAGATGGTGAATTACTAAGCAGATCAAGCAGGAACAGGTATTGCCTGGCAAATTTAAAATTAAATGTGTGCCAGCATAAGATCAGAGCTTAGACAAACATGCAGTCACTAAATCAGCTTTACACAGAACTTTACCAGTTAAGCTGTTTGTAGTTTATCTGAGAAAATGCATCCAACTTTACTGTCTAACAATAAAAAAGCTGACATTTTCCCTGCATTTAAATGTCATCAGACAACAGGCTGTCTTCTGGCGAAGGATTATCTCATACCTCACAAGTGTAGACAGCGGTGAACTTAGGGCAATAACAGATGGACGGACAACATAATTCACAAAAGAAGTGCAATGGAATCCAAACACCTGTTGGTGAGGCAGGGAGGTTGTTACAAGTTATTGATTCTCTGCCATTTCAGGTACTTAAAGGTGACAACTGTCTACCACAGTCTTCTATAATATATCTATTTTAATGGGTCTTTGAGGATGAATCGAAACAAGGATCAAAGAATCAATATGGAGGTTTCAGAATATGAAATAGTTTGAGTGAGCAGTGTGTAGATTTTCCTCTTGTCACCTGCTTTCCCAGTGGTGAAGGTGTCCTGGGGAGGTAACTGCTTTCAGCATGGGTGATGTGCTCTCTGCTCTCTCAGCATAGATTAAAAATGGGAAAATTAAAAAAAAAAATAAATCTGACAATAAATAACATTTTTCGTCTCCCTCCTGAAAATAAATAGTGCCTATAAATACCTCTGCTCTTCTGGGCAATGTTTGTCCAGGGGGAAGGTTAGAAATTTCACTTTTGCTTAATTCTTTAAACAAGTTTACATGAAAAGTTAGGTAGTAAGTAACTGTCTGACTTACTTCCCCATGCCTTAAATCGGATTTGAAATGAAATTGAATGCAAGTGGATAAAATGCTTGATGTGCCATGGTAAGAAACTCCGGTGACCTTACCTTTGTGTCAAACAGGTTCTGTCAAGGATCTGCCACTTTCAGTTCTCATAAACAAACACCCAACTAGAGCTGGTCAAAGTTAAAGACTTGTCCCTTCTGAAACTCTTATCTGCATAAAAATACTGGAGACGGCTCTGATCTTGGTGACTAAAATCTCAGAGTCTATCCTTATTATTTGTGTGCTTACAGTCTTGTGACCAGGCTCTGCCTTTCCATCTGGTTGGGAGCAAAGAGGATGAAGCTGAATGTTCCCCGTACATGGCTGTTGGTGTTTAGGAGGCATTTGGACAATGCCCTTAATAACATGTTTTAACTTCTGGTCAGTCCTGAAGTGGTTGGACAGTTGGACTAGATAATCATTGTAGGTCCCTTACAACTGAAATATCCTATTCTATAAAAGCTGGACCAGCTGTTCTATTAAGATATAGCAGACTCTATAGTAGTGAGCAAGGACTTTGTCCCTCATCTGACAATGGTGATCTACCTTTGCGAGCCCTGGGCAAGGTACTGAGGGAGCCAGGGGGAAAATGTGGAGGAAACAAGATACAAGAGCAGGGGGAGAAATGAGAAGAGTGGATTGATAGAAGGAGTCATATGGGTCGGTGTGTAAGGTGAGGAGACTGGAGGCTGATGGGAAAGGGAGGTGGGAGTGGAAGCAGAAGTTTAAGGCACCTCTGAAATTCTCAAACAGTGTTATCTGAGCTGCAAAGTAAAGGGCGAAGAAGTTAAGATTCTGTTGAGATCCTGAGGCTGGATTTTCTCAGGAGAGCAAGCAGTCATAACCCTGCTTGAAATCAGCTGAAGTTCAACTTCAAAAGGAGAGTCCTACATAATGCTAATACTCTGGAAAATCAGGCTATAGCATTTTTAAATGAGATATAAAAATTATGTTCATTAACATTTGTAAGGAATGCTGTAGAAAAGCCAATGAGGAAATTCAATTTTGAAAATGGGGTTTGAGTAATGTGCAATAAATGTTGAGGGATAATTTAGTTTCTTGAGGTGGAGAAAATTACTGTGGGAAGCTCATTTAGATTTGGTACTGATTAATAAGAAGGAAATGGCTAAGATTCCAATGGTGGTAGATAATTTGAATGAAAATCATCACAAAGTGATAGAGTTCACGATTCTTAGGAGAAGTGAAGGATGGCAATATCAGCAAGACATTTAAAAAAAAAAAAAAGAGATTTCAATAAACTCAGAGAATTGGTAGCTACACCTCTTGGGAACACGTTCTATGCAGATGGAAGTGTAGAAGACCTGGAAGATACCAAAAAACAGTGTATGAAGGGCTGAAGCCCAATTGGACTCTACTTTCTGAAAACTGTTATAATAGCAAGGCAGTAGCACAGGGGACTCTGTGTGTAGCTCTGTATATGACTTCCATGTTCAAGCTTCTAACCATGAAGAGAAACATCAAACACAGCTAGTGTAGCCCTGTTTTTAGCTTTTCTCATCATCAGAGTTGTTCAGAACCTTGTTTCCTTTTAGATTGTCAAATTGTTTCACAAAAATAAGAAGCAAGCATGTAACTGAAGATGCATTTAAAAATACAGTATAGAAATCAAGAATGCAAATTAAGCTATGAGGAGATATTAGATAACAAGAATTACATAAGTGGATTAGAAGTAAGGGGAAGCTGAATAGCTGAATGAAATATTTGACCATTATTTAGTGAGAAACGAGGGAAACGCCACATAAGGAATGTGCAATTGCTGCTATTGTTTCCTGTCTGCAGCCAGGAGAGGAATGGGCTAATGAATGAGTATTTAATAAATGAGATGTTCCCATGTCAGCAGGGCTGTGTGAATAGAGAAGGAATTAATAAAGTAACAGCATCTAGTGACTGTCTTCTGAGTGAGAAACTGCTGAGTCCTAAGGAACTAACTAAAAACCAGGAACAGTAAGACAAACCAAACCAACCAACACTGCCCCTCCCCACCAAGCAAAAGGTAAAGTCAAGGAAATTGTAGGTTCCTCATCCTAACTTTGTTATGTAGAAAGTTAAGAACAAGTTATTACTTGTGATCATTTCAAGAATCAGACTTGGATAATTTGGCCAGTGTGGATTTATTCAGAACAAATCATGCCCAGTGAATTTAATCTCCTCTTTTGACAGCATAGCTGCTCTCATTAAGGGAAGTGGTGGATTTTTGACACGTTAAAACTTCTATCGGGAAGCTGAGGAACAGTGACTTGAATTAAATCACTATTAAATGGGTACTTGGCTGCTTGAAAAATCTCACAGTGGATATCACTGTGAAGAGTCTGTCTCCTTTACTGATGACCATCAGATATTGATACACATTGGTAAGATCCCCTGAGCCTTCTCCTCTCCAGGCTGAAGAGTCCCAGCTTTTCTTGTCTCTTCTTGTGTATCATGTGTTCCAGTCCTGAAAGAGTCTTTGTGGCCACTTCACTGGATTCACTCTAGTATGCTCATGTCCTCCATCTCCTGGGAAGCTCAGAACTGGACATGGCACCCAGTTGTCTCATCAGTGCTGAGTAGAGGGAAAGGTTCACCTCCCTTGACCTGCTGGTGGTGCTTTTCCTAATGCAGCCCATGTTGCTGTGGCCCTTTGCTGCAAGGACGCATTGCTGTCTCATGGACAACTTGTCCATCAGGACTCCCATGTCCTTCTCTGCAAAGTTCCTTCCAAAGAGTTGGCTGATAGATGTCCACTATTCACGATCAAACTGGAACATGAGCCAAGGAAAGTCCTTCAGAAAACTCTTTTTTCCCCAGTTCTTCATGATATTTGTATGAACTTCGTGCATGTTTGAATAGTAACGTTAGTGGATGGTGCAGAGCTGAAAGAGGTAGCAAACACAGTAAATAATATATTAAATTATATTGAAATAATTGTTAAATTTCTCAAAATGTGAGTTGAGCAGGAAAAATTGATTGCACAAAGATGAAACATGAAATAAAGACATCAGGGACTTCTGAGATGCAATGGACTACAAAATGAATAAAAGTCAACAGTTTGAAATGCTAAAACTTGTATTAGGCTTGTCAAACTTGTGGGCGTGTTGTGTTACTGTACTATGCAGTGGTGAGGTTGCAGGTGGGATTCCGTGGGCACCCTGTTGTAAGAAAGTGAGTCATGTGAAATTGACTAGGACCTATGAAGAACTGGGTTTGCTTAATTTAGAGACAGGAAGGCTTGCAGTGGATACAAGCCCTTAAATTTCATAAAGGCTATGCATCAGACAATAAGGATAAAATATTTTCTATGTCTAGTGGACAGAGATAAATAAGGGTTAGCTTAATTTACAGGAGCAATGATTTGGGTTAGATTTTTAAGAAAAGGTTCTCTGTGAGACTTTACAAGAAGTGAATCAGGCACCTGAAAGGAAAGGCTACCTGAAAGCAGCTCTAGGAAGCTGTAGAGCTGCTTCAGGTAGTGGCTGTTAAAGAAGCAGGAGGGGGATCACCCTGGGTCCCTGATCTTGCCTCAGGATAGCAGCTGTGGTAGGCAACCTCCTGCCAGGTCCAAAAGCCCTCTGCGGTGATTGCTCAGTGACAGCAAGTGTTCAAGTCAAGGCTGTTATAACTCGGTATTTTTAAAGCCAACTGTTTTTGCTGCATCTGTACTTGTGCTTTGTGTTCATGGTGACTTTTCTGGAGTTTTCCTTGTACTCCAGTGCACTGTAGTGTTGCTACTGCAGCTTTGGCCTTTTCTTGAGCTGGAAAAATTAATATCTATAAGTAGGCTAATTTACACACCACTTTCCTCTCTTGAACAAATCTGATGAAGTCCACTGTTAAAAGGTGTTTGCCTGGAATCCTTTAATGGACTTCTGTTGAGATCCCTTTTCACTAGCATCTGTTTTTAAATTGTGACTACAGTATCCCTGAAAGTGTTGAAGGCCATGTTGGATGAGGCTTTGAGCAACCTGGTCTAGTGGAAGGTGTCCCTGCTGATGGCAGGGGGGTTGGAACTGGATGAGCTTTAAGGTCCCTTCCAACCCAGACCATTCTGTGATTCTATGATCTGAAGTACTAACACCATATACAGTGGTTAAAGCAGCTCTCAGTTTGTGTTTACCACTTAACTCAGCCAAGGAAGGCATTTGTTTTAGCTATAGAAATATATAGATAAATCTTATCCTTGTCTCTCATGCTACATTCTGTACTGTAGATTTTGTGAACTGTGTTTCCAGGTGGATCGATCTTGCATCGACTCAGGTTAAGTAGAGAGTTAGCCTCTGCTGGTTGCAATGGTTTTCCTATCAGGAAGTTATCATCTGTAATTTCTAGACCTATAAAGATGAGTCACTGGTAGCAGCCTGAGGCCACCAGAATGTGTTTTCAGAAACTAAATCTTCCATTATGACAGTTGTTTTTTTGTTTTTTGTTTTTTGTTTTTTGTTTTTTTTTAATCTTTTCTCCTGTTCAGGTGTTTGAATATTTGCTCATAGTTATTTTCTTGTCTGATTTGATGTTCTGTTAAATAGACATTTCTTGATCCATCTCTTAGACTGTTGATTTATCAACCTTCCAGGTGCTTTTCTGCTGAACTACTGGTAATTTTAAAGCAAGTAATGCTAGCTTTTGATCCAACGTACCATTCCCTCCCTTCTTTGGGTAGTGCCAGAGTGCTTATGATTTCAAAATATAAGTGAAATGCAAAGCATGTTTTTAACCAAGACAGCTGATCACTAGCTCAGGGAGCCATCAGGCAATTTTTGTCTTTGTTTTGTAGGTAATGCCACTGCAGTTAAGCAGTCGCGGTACAGGATTATCATTCAGGATGCTGCCAATGGGGGACAGGCATGCCCGGACACCTTGTATGAGGAAAGAGAATGTGAAGATATTCCCATCTGTCCAGTGTACAGGTAAAAAGTGTTAGCTTGGAATCAGTCTCTTGCTAGTGGGTGTCTGCTTCTCTAGAAATGACCCTTGTGTAATTTTCCTGCACAGTTTTCACTGGAAAATGACATAATACTGTTAAATGCAGAGTTATAAACAGATAATGTACCTTAAAGAAAAATGTGTAAAAGTAGAGTTCAAATTGGGAAATTTCAGTAGATCTGGCATCATCAGAACAAGCACCTATAGATACAGCTCCTAGAAATGGTAACCTCAGGGTTCGATGTGTTTAAGGAAGCTGTAACTGGGAACTTATCCTTCAATGTATCTAAAAATCAATGTAAACTATTTTGGGACCACCAGCACTCAACTGCCTTAATCATAATTGTATGTTTATTGCAGAAACTCTTGTCTTTTCCCCTGATGCTCTCACTCTAGTGAATAATATGCGCTTTGAAAATCCTGATTAGACAAATAGTGCAATAGAGCAATTACTACTCTTCATTAAAATTCCCTGACCCATCTGTTATACATTAGTAAATAGAAAAGCATTGTGTCTTTGCATATAAATCTCCAGCCCTCGCATCCTGTAGGACATGGTCTCAGAGCAGAGCAGGGAGCTGAAGATGGTGCCAAAGCAGGAGCTGCACCACTCAGCACTGCCTGGTGCTATGGAAAGCTGCTTTCTTGTGTTCTTGACTGGCGCGCATCCTAGCGTAGAAAGCACACTGGATACAGCATCAGTTGTATGAGAATGGGCTTGCCAGAGGAGGGCCTGGTTTCAAAGCCTACTGAAGGTGTTTCCTTTGTATTTTATGTGACTTTGAACCATGCCCTACAACAATGAGAAAGGAAAACATGGTTGGAGGATGATGTGGCTTTTTAGGAGGCGAACCTTGCATCTGAATTTCAGTTCACAATGCTTATTTTAGGAGTAATTACATCTTTTTGACTCTATTTTTCTTTAAGTCTCCCCAGTATATCATAGTTTGTAACTGAATTTTTTGCCTGGGTATATTGACTGTTTTCCAGTTTTAACCACTTAATTGTTAACCATTTCCTCTCGCAGGTGGAAAACCCACCGCTGGAGTCACTGTGTGCTAGTGCCAGATTTGGTGAGACAGGCTGTGCTGGGACACAGTGAGGCATGTGGACACGGTTTGCAGTCAAGAGGTAAGATTTCTCCATGCAGTCTCCAAATATTTAAGGTGCTGGAGTGTGGAATTTAAGTAGGGTCTTAACTTTTTTACAATAGCTAATTTGGAAACTGGCTGAAGCACTTCCAAGTGTTTTGGGAAGTAGACCCATTGTACAGCTTTGCTTCTGTGCTGGATGTTAAAATGTCAGTAATGTGGTAGTATGCTTAGCGTATAGGAGGGGATTTATGCTGGGTATTCCAGTATCTTTACAGCATCCTACTCTTCTGCCTAAAGATGAAGCATGTGGGGTTTAAAAGAACTATCTTGTCTATAGGCCTTTATGAAGTAATCCATTCTTGGTGCTAAAAATGGAAAGGATAATTTCCTTGTGATTTTAAATTTTACTAATAATTTGCCTGAGGCCTGATTTTCATTAAGACTATTAAAGTGTTCAGCGTGGGTAAAGGCTTTGGACTCCTGCTTTTGGTGTGATTAAGCACTTGGAAAATACAGTGATCCCCTTGTCTGAATAAAAGCATTGAGAAGAATTTTGCTGTTCAGAGTGTGTGATCAGAGTCTGTAGTGGTTCCTGGAGATGGCTGGAGATTGGGCTGCTATCAGTCTCCTGGGAAATCTAATGAAAACTTTAACAAAAGATTATTTTTATTAAAAAATAATTACTATACAGGTATGCTAAGTGAAGAAACTTGACTTAATAATTTATTCCTTCACAAGGGTAGAAACTATTCTTGAAAGATTAAGTGAATTTCTTACATGATCTAGAAGCAAAGGAAAATAAAGAAAATCCCTGATGATACGTGGGCTGTATCTGAAAGAAGAAATGTGTTTTAAACTGAGGCTTAAAGGAGTAAATATGTTTAAGTAGGTTTTGACCACAAGCCTTTCCACAAGGTTTTCAAAGAGAGCTCTGTAAACTGAGACACCCTAAAATGTACTCCTCAATCTCCATGTGAAGAGAAGGTAATTTTTATGTACCAGTAGGTGTATGAACTTTGTATTAATCTTACTCTGACAGAATTTGAAGTATAATAGAAGAGTATTATGCTTATTTTTGCTCTGTGGAGAGTCCTCCAACAATTACGTAGCCTATGCGTGGGGTAGTCACGGAAAAGGAATCTCATAACCTGATGGGTTTAAGCAAAATTTATTTCAGCGCCACGTTCACTTTTTTTGTAATTAACTGTGGTTTTTGTAACAGCTTTGTTTTTTATACACGTTGTGATAGAAACAATCTGCCAAGTATTATTGAGGATGAGTGGGGTTTCAGGAAAATGAGTTCTCAGATGAAACCCATGGAAGAAGATTTTCAAGTTGTTTCCTACAAACAAGGGAAATGATCTCTGTGGAAAAGGCAGATGAAACCAAGCTGCTAACTCTGACCATATTGCTTCTAGAAAACAAGCTGCTAGAGTTTCAGTGATTCTGTCTTACCTATAGGAGCATTTAGTAAGGGAAACTTTCATGAAGCTGCTGTTAATACCTGACCTTGCTGCTACATGCCTTGCAGGGTCTCTTCAGCTTGTCGACCTTGACACTGAAGAACTTCTGACCCTCTCATTCTTCACCATGAAGTGGGCATTTGGAGATATTTTTTAAATATCATGTGAGGTGAGGCTGGAGATTTGGGTTTGTTCAGTCTAGAGAAGTGTCTAATGAGAGTGGGGTTCACAGAGAAGATGGATCTTCCCAGAGGTGCACAGTGAAATAACAGAAGATAACAGTCATAGGCTGTGGTGAGGGAAATTCCCAGATTGCCCAGAGAGAGTGTAGATTCCTTGGAGATACTGGAAACTCAACTGAATAAGGTCTTGAGCAGCCTTTTCTAACTTTGAGGTCAGTCTCGCTTAGAGCAGGCATTGGATCTTCAGAGGTCCCTTCCATTCTAACTTGTACGATTCTCTGAGTCTCTGGGTCTCTTCAGGGCAATGTGTGCCATCACTGAAAGAACACCAGGTGGTATAGATAGATGCTTTCCTGCAATATTCTGGCATCCTACAAATAGGTTTGCATTTGAGGTTTCACCACCACTCCAGACAGTGACTGGCTTGCATAATGTGTCAGCATCTTTAGCCAGTAAGTGCTTATTCTCTAAAGAGTATTTATATGAATTTTTTACCATGTAACAGCAATTACCCTTTTACCAGTGGAGATCATCTGTCTTGCTGTTCCTTAGAGCATCCATTTTTTAGATTTTTTTTTTTTCTTTTACTGTCCATATCCTGACTGTCATGTAAATAAGAGGATTTCAGTTTTCAGTGACTGTCACATCTAGCCAATTGTATAAGGACATTGAATTCATATAAATTATTTCTAAACAAACAAAATGTAAGTTTATGTGTACCTATTTATAATTATGACTGTGCTGAGGGAAAATTAAGTCTGAAATGACTTTCAAGCTCCATTCCTTCTCTAGGCTAGATTCTGAGATAGATACAGATCTTGTTCCATGAGTGTTTTCACTGGAGCTGCATGTAAGTACTATATAACATGCAGGAAATATCAGAATTTGTCCCTAAAAAGCAGAATAGCCAAAGAGATGACAGCTTTCTGAAGCTGCAGTTTCCATGGCTTTATCTTGGATTGATACTACACTAATTACAACAGCCTTTCATTTTGTGTATCAGCTTCAATGGATTTGCTTATTCAGAAAACAATCATGCAGGTAAGAGAAAAGTAGTGTTTAGAACTAACAAATTTAGTTGTTATTTAAACTTCATTAAGACACGATTTGCAAAAAAACCCTGAGATAGGGCACTCAAGTGAAACAGCATGGGGATGTTACTGTTGCTTGACAGTGACAGAAACAACATTTCTAACAGTAAATGAAGAGCTTTACAAGCTTTCTATTGCTATATAGCTGTCATTTTCCTCAACAAGTGACTAATTTACTAGAAGGTGTCAAGACTGTGAGAAAATTGCTTCTGCTTCAGATGCCCTTCAGTGACTTTACTGTTCTCTGATGTTTGTGATGGAGGATCCGTCAGAAATGACCTCCCCCTTCAATGCTGACACGAGCAGCCACCTTAGACACTTACAGTTTTGGGGAAAAAATGTGTTGCTCATTACAAGGGATTGTTAAGGTTTAATTAGTGGATGGAAAGCTTATTTTAAGCAAGTGTCTTTGAAGGCTGCTTCAAAAGCTGTTGATAAAGTAAATAGACATGTATTAAAGACTGGAGTGATGGAGTGACTGGAGTGAGACTCCACTTTAAAAACTAGTCTTGGAAATGCACTGACAACATAGTTATGAAAAAAGTAGTTGCTTTCCAAAAGCAAAGAGAAGCTGCAGCAATGGAACATGTCATGTCTTATTTCTTCTGCTCCTGCCACTTCTTAACTGTGATTCATTTGGGGGATTTGACCATATCTTCCCCCATTAACAAGACAGTAAGTCCATTGCAGAGCTGTAGCTCCCCATTGCAAGAATGCAGAAATGCTGTGACATGGAGCAGCAAATATTCTTAGAGATTAATTTATTGATTTATGTACATGAAAACAACAGCAAACCCACCAATGCAGTAATGAGAAACTACTCCTCTGCTTTGGAGAAATGCAGTCTCCCTGTCTCACCTGAGGTCACGGAGTGGATCAATACTGGAGAGCCTCATTGAGCATCTCAGTAGAATATTTCTTTTGGTATGCTCTACTGTCAGACCATGTATGATGTATTTCTTTCCTTATTTAACCGAGTTGTAAATTCACACCACATGGACTTTGCTAAGATGGTTTGTGTTAAATATAATCCGTTTCAGTTGAAAAGTTGATCCGTGAATTGACAGTGAAAAAGTAGAATGCAGGCAGCACCGGGCTCAAGCAATTTAAGATTCCTGTCTCCTTCATTGCAGATTTCTGGCTTTTGCTCTGGAGCTTCCTGATAGCTGTAGGGATATTGCAGACAAGACTGGTTTTAGAGTGCAATGCAGATCAAACACTTATCATTACGAGAACAAAAATTTTAACAATCTCCTATCTAAGTTTTCTGAGTGTGTCTAAATGCAATGATAGTTCCAGTAAAATCTGGTATAAAATATAGACGGAACCATTCTAACTGTGATTACAAACATCATTTGTAATAAATTAGTGACTGTTAACATGCGTTCCATACTAAGTGAGATGAAAGGATGAATTTTGATATTGCCTGTTAACATTGTATCTACAAAAATATTTCGAGCAGGCATCCTTTAATGGTGTTATGTAGTGTATTATCAATCTGTAACATGGTAATGGCTGTATACATTACCGTTGTTTCTGCTGAAGTTATATTATTGTAACCTATTTATAATGAGACATGCCATCAAAAAAGCATCAGCGTTACCATTTTTTTTTTTGCTCGTAAGATAGTCACCCAACACTTCTTACTCCCTCTTTTGTAGGTAGTTTATATGACTGCTGATTAGCTAAATTAACAGTTGCATTCATTATCATTTGAGTTGCAGAATGCTTTTGCACAGAATTACCAATTTCAGGAGGTACGTATAAGAATGCTGTTATAATTTACAGGCTCAAGGCAGTGTGATAGCCTAAAGTTTACAATGAAAACATTTATGATGGTGAACGTGGCGAAGACACGGGCTGCTTCAGTCAGACGGTGGTATTTTATGAGCAGCACTTTGCGGTGCAGTCCTGCGTATAAATCTGTCCAGCTGATAGTGGCTTACCTGTCATCAGCAGCTCCCTCCAATATTAACTTTGCCTGGTAGGACACTGGCACCTTGAGCCTTATTCTGAGTAATGCTGGGGGTTCAGTAGGTTTTTCAGTGTTTGTTCAGCTGGTACTAGTCTAGGGTAACAGGTGGTTGCAGGGACACAAATGGGGGCACAACGAGCTGAACTTGAGTGGTCCTGGCCAGCATCACTGTCCGGAAGACATTTTCCTGGCAGCTGGTAGCAAATAGTTCAAGGAAAAAAGGGTAAGGACAGGAGCTGAATCTTATTTGTGATACGTTTGAAAGGAAAGTTTGTGAAGTGAAGTCTGTCTAGGATGGGGATTGAGGTTTGGAGGTGGCCTTTCTG